AGGTTTTCGTCGCCTGGGCGGTAAACCGTACCTTGAAGCTTGAAGTAGGCGTCGGTGTAAATGACACTATAGGCACGAAAAGTCGGGTTCCGCGGGATAGTCATCGGTTGGCAATGCAAGATGATGTCGCGCAGTGCCATCAAGGAAGATCTGGTCCGTTTGTCGAGTTGGTGAGAAAAACAATTGGCTCTGGCATGAAGCGCCTTGAGTGGGGCACGTCCGACCTTGCCGAACAGACGCCCGGTGAGGAAGTTGCACTTGCCAGCCATCTTCCGAGCTTCTTCGGGAGTGAGGTTGTTCGTCTCCAGGTGTTTCTCAATCTGTTGTGTCATCGCTTGTACTCTTGCCGGGCATGGGGTCAGGATGAGGTTGTTCGGGTCGGAGGAGATCAAGACACCCTGTATGCGATGTTGTGCTTCGGGAGGTTGTCGTTTACTGGGTTTCATGGAAATCTGGAGACATCCGTTGTAGTCCTCGAAGCCCGAAAACTGCTATCCGCAGAGGGCTCGTCTTCCATGGAGCCGTAGTCATCGACGTAGTGAAGCGCTGGCGACAACACGAGCGTGCGGCTGCACGCCACTAGGACGTCGCCAAAGCGATTGTAAGACCAGACGCTCGCGGCAGACCCGAAGAGAAGCACGTCGTGACTCCACATGGTAGGGCCGAACGGTGTCAAAAGCAGGACGTAGGCTTGTCGAGGATCATGTAGCGGTAATTGACGATATGCACCATCGTGGTCGTGTCCCCAGACTCGTAGTGGCATCGTGCGGTTCTTCTCGAGGAAGGCGAGGCTCAAGGAGACCAAGTGGTCGGGAGTGTGGCGGAAAGGCTGGTCGTCCATGATGCACGTAAGCGTTGTGACCGCTCCGCCTCCAATCTTCTCCTCGTCGAATCTTCGTTTTGCCATCGCTGCCAGTCTGTTCGATGCTAAATGCCATCGCGATGAAAGGATCGTCGTGAGGAAGATCGAGTAGTACATCCGAGCCCGGGTATGATGTCGCGACTGCTGGCTTGGGCCACCAAGAGGGAGCCTTGAACGGACCGTTCATCCGGCCCAACTTAACTTCTGCCAGGATCTCATCCAGCATGAACTTCCAATGCTCGTCGACTCGATTTGCCTCGAGTTTGTCCCGGATGTATTCGCGATTCTTGTGCTGGAAATCTTCCATCGGCGTGGGTTGTAGATACTTACGATCCTGTCGGACATGCCAGTTGACTCCTGGTGTAAGTTTGCCCATCAGAGGAAATCCATCTGACAATTCCCGGTACAAGACCTCTGTCTGCGGGTATCCCAATCGGCGTTGCAAATGTATCAAGATAGGGATTTGTGTCACAGAGTCTTTGTGTGTGTATGCTCGTTGTACATGCGGAGGAAGAGTGCGAAACCAGGCCATGGTGTGCTCGTCGAAGTCCACCACCCAATCTCTGATCTCGGAGATGACATCGTGTTGGAATCGTGCCAGAGGGTGAAACAGATGTCTATGTTCGAGGCACCAAGTAAGCGTCGGGTCGAGTTCCTTAGGCGTCATGTTGGTGTCGCGATGTAGGGCCCAATCCAGGTGTTCCGTCCAGGAGAACTGCGGCATGTACTCACATCCACCGCGTCTGGGCGGTGGCCCGAAGGGTACTCTGGTCGCTGTCCACAGGTTGACTACTTTGTCCAAAGCGGATTCGTGAAGTTATCGAGGTATCGCCGCTTCTGCTGTCCCGAGCAAGACCAAGAAGAGGATCCAAATGGCCGTAGGAAGGTGCCAGGCATTCCCCAGGGCCACATCGCGTTGCGTGTCTCCGGCGAGTTTCTCGGTGTATCCCACTGGTAGTCCTTGGAGCTGCTCGCGGAGTTCTGTAGGTGCCGTGGAGGACGTGCCGTCGGGCCACTGTACTAAGAACTGCTCCTCGTACTGCCACGGAGGATATCGATGATGGTCATCTTGCCATCTATGTGTAGTATAGAGGGGGACATTTGTCGCAAACGATTCGTACGAGGCGTGGGCCTGCCAGTGGGCTCCTGTGATGGTGTCGCGAGACAGTGAAACAATTTATTGCCTTGTTGCAGACGTCGGGAGTGAGAAGCCCTTGTGCTGCAGTGGTGTTTGTAGATCAACCGCAACAGGATTATGGAGTCGCGGCCAGTCGTCATCCGTCTTCCAAGAGGTCGACCATGGCGTATTTCGTGCGAGCTTGTTCTCGACATCCTGCCAGTCGATAGATGTCCACCAGAGACGCTTCCTTTGTACCAAGCCGCCGTCAGACGCGTCAATGACTACGGGGCGCATGCACGAAGGTTCTGTCATCTCGAGTAAGCGATCTCGAAGAGAGGGATGTGGCACGACGTTCTCTATGACTGTCTCGAACGGCCTTCCCTGGAATCGTAGGCGAAGGTTGTACTCGACGTCGATCATGTGCTTGAACATCCATCCAGAGTCTCCATCTGCTCCTTTCGGGGATTTCTTCATCCGAGAAAAATCTGGGCAAGGTGGACCAGCTGTGATGAGCAAGATGAACTGTTGTTGTCCCAACTGTTGGTCGATGTAGGCGGCTATCTTGTCGATGTCGATGTCTGCGACGTCGCCCATCTGTATCGACCCAAATCGTTCGTGCGTAAAGTCTGCACATGCTGTGTTCGTTTCCCAAGACATAGTGAGAAGGACGTTGTCAGATATGCGACGCAAGGCTTCGGATGCTACGCCGATACCATCGAAGAAGGACAAGTGGACAACAGGAAGGTGGCCAACAAGGCTCTTGCAAAGGGTGGACACTCTATTGTCATCGTCAGTGATTCGATGGTCGGCTCCAGTGCCGCGGGACACTGGGCCGCGCTGTCCCTATTTCTTGCCACCCTTGCCGAACTTGCCCTTCTTGCCTTTGCCCTTACCGCCCTTCTCGGCGCCCTTGTGCGACCAGGTCGGTCGCGGTTGCGCCATCGGCGCCGGATTGAAGGGCACCGTCGGGGTCGGAGTGGGCGGCGTCGGGGCCGACGGCATCGGAGTCGACCATGTCGGGGGAGTTGGCGGCCACGTCCACGTTGTAGGTTGCGGTTGCCATGGAGGGGAGGACGTGGGCCACTGTGCCCATGTCGTCTGTGATGTCGAAGGAGACGCTGTTCGGTATCGTCGCCCTTTTCCTGGAGGTGACCACTTCTGTTGATTTCCTTTGCCTTTGTTATTGTACGAGTAGTCGGCGCCCTTGGTGTACCTGGTCTTCTTCGTCAAAGGTTGGTGCAAGATCTCGTTGACTTTCGCGACGTCCACCATGAGATCTTCTGTGATGGCAGTGAATGTCTCGGTTGATCGCATTCTCATCAGGCAAAGTCTTCCCACAGGAGCTTGACATTGGGAACCCGCTGTGAATTCTTGCGTATCAATCCCTGGAACCAATCGACGTATTTGTTGATGGAGGTCTCGGAGTCGTACTTGAGCAGGATCCAAGCCCAGCGGATGGCCTGAGTAGCGTCGATGAGCATCCATTGACCACGCACATCCCACTCCTCCTGTGACTTCTCGGAGATCTGATTCTTGTCGTCCAGGATGAGCTTCTTCTCGGAGGAGTCTTTCTTGCGGTTCGAGTTGATGGTGTTGAAGCTGGTCCAGACTCGCTGTGCCATAATCTCCCCCAACGGTGTCGCCGTGTACAGTTTGGAAGTGTGGTGTTCGTGGTACATCCGAGCTAGAACCTTTTCGGCTCCCAAGAGCAACTTCTCTGGAAAGGTTCTACGCACACCGTCGATGGTAATGGAGTTGTAATCCTCGACGAGCTTGGAGTAGACCCCCGCAGGCAAGGATTTGGGCATCGTATCCTTGTCGGGTTGCGCCGCCTGAGATGGCTGCGAAGGGGCGGTAGTCGGGGTTGGTGTTGCCTGAAACGAAGACTGGTATTTGTGTCTGGCATGTCGACTGAGCACCAGCCACTGTGCTTTCAATGTCGGCGAGCTTGTACTCGGTGGTGCCCACTGTCACTCCAGCTTTGAGCTTGGTGATGAGGTCGTTGACCACGGCGTCTTCGTGCACATAGGCTGCGATGGTCGCGTGTGAGCGAATGCCGATGGCATGTAGGTACCTGGCGAGGCGATCTGTCGAGAGATCTATTCCGGCCAGGGCGGCGGCATCGGTGAGGGTAGCATCCGCCATGATCACTTTGATCCTAGAGGGGACTATGTGAGGAAGTTCGTGGTTTCATGACACCAAGGCAAGGAAGGGGGGGCCCAGGTTGGGGTATCATGTCCTCGCTTGTTCTTCGGACTGGAGCGGAGCCTTATGGTCTGAAGCTAATTAATCGGTGCGTCGCCTAGGCGGAAATCGAAGCAGTCCAAATAATTGTCGGCGGGTAAGCCCGCCGGACTCAATGCGGCAGCGAAGGAGACGCCACTTCCGAATCGTGTTCATGCGATACTGTCCAACCGATCCATCGCCTGGGCGGAAAACGGTCTACTCGTAGTCCTCGATGGCCTGGTCGGAAAATTCTTGTGCTTCTCGAAGATTGAAGCAGCGCTTACATTTGGGGCCGCCGGGCTCCTGGTACTCGCGTCTATGAGGAGCGAATCCGTATGGCCAGCCACATATGGTGTGCCAATGGGTGCTGTCGGTGGACGTCTCGGAGACCCGGGAGGTGTTGACCACCCAGAACTTCTGTCGCAGCGTCTCGAGGTAATGCTCGACCATCTCACTGATCTGTTCGGGCTTGTCGTTCTCGTGTCCTCGGTGATGTGGGTCGCCGCGATACAAAGGAGCTTCTTGCACGTAGACCTTGACGGCGTCACTGCCCCAACGACCCAACAGTTGCACTGTGTCCAGCAGGAACCCTCACCGTGTTAGCATCTGTGCCCCCGACACGCGACAAACGTGTTCACAAAATCGTTGTAGGACAGTCCCGTTTGGACCGTTTCGGGTCATCATCGTCCCGGTGGCCTCGATGACTGATCGAAAGACGTCGACCGTTTGTTGGTGTTGGAGTGGTTGGCAATCGCCACCAGGAAAAAGTGGCGCGTCGTCGGGGCACCCAAGTGATCTCATTCTCGTTATATGTCGGTGTAGTGCATGGAAAGGACAAAGTGCGGGACAACGATGGCAACTGCACGGATGTGAGCGGGTAACGCACAAGCCCACTATGTCCATCTTGGTGCACGGCAAGGTAATTAATGAAGGCCGTACGGCCGGCGTGCGTGATCTCCGTCCAGACCTGGTTCAGCATGACCGACGCCGCCTCGATCCCCCGCAGCAACCACCAGCAGCAGATAATAACCATGTCGACCCTGTGAGAAAGTCGTTGTGCCCATCGCACCTGTCCGGGAAACTCGAGGTCCGTCTGCTCGATCTTGGAAATGTCCTCGACGTAGAAAGAATCCTTAAGTTTCGAGGGGCCTCGACCACGTTCAACAGCGCGTTCTGCTTGAGACATCCGCAGGATTACTTCCGGGGGTACTGGGGTATGTGTCTGAGCAACGTGTTCCTGTCGAGCTTGGCTAAAGAGCAGTTTGGCGGTCTTGTATCCCCCAGCTCTGAGGCTCGCCGCGACTGCATCCACAAACCTACCGGTGAGAGGGAGAGGGTCGAGGTCCCAGGCATTCGTGATCTGGAGTCATAGCTTCCACCGCGAATCGCGGGACTTGGTCGTTGTAGCTGCGTATGTGTTCTTACGCAGTTCACGTACTGAGACTTTCATCGCGGAACTCCGGTCTCGCTGCCATCGACAGGGATCCTCTCGCAGAGGGCGCGGAGGTCGGCAGGTCCCGGCGCCACCGAACCACCGCTCGGGACAGCATTCTATCCAGGTCGGGGCGGGTCGGGGAGATCTGGACTGGTGTAGTCTCGGATATATTCTTCAGTGCATCTACCGAGAGGATATCTCGGGATGCCAAACTCGGGGCAAAGTCCCAGCAGCCCGGGCGTTGGCTGCGATGACACGCGGTGCCGAGCCGTCTTCCATCGAGGGCCGGCTCGCGAAACAGCGACGCAGGCTCTACGACGAGCAGACGGCACAGGTGGCCGTCGAGGTGCTCGCCTTTCGTCGAACCCAGGAACAGATGGGCCTCGCTCGACTGCGACTGCAATACTCTAACGCCGATAGCGACCAACTCTTCGAGATTTGGCGCCGTCACTTGGCCGGCGAAGCAGTCGACTCCGAAGGCAACCCGGTCCAGACCCACGATGCCGAGATCATCGAGAAGGACAACGAAGAGGGCAACAAGCGCCTGCTTGATTACCTCGACCTCGCCTTCCTCTCCGCCAAGCACGCTTGACGACGACCCTCGACACGAGAAGTCCCTCGACTGTACCTTTTAGGGCAAGCTCTTCCCAGCCTACTACTTGTTGTGCATCAACCCCGCGGAACTCGATGATTGGCACAATGTGCACTATCGGTGTTGCTATGCCTGCGCCACTTGCCACTCCGAAGACTTCGGCTGGTACAGCGAATGCTCGGCCCTTATAAGCCGGCGAAGCCAGGGGCACGAGGTTCTATCTCCGGCCAACGCTACAACAACTTCGATCGGACCGGCGTGGCAGACTTCGATGACGACTACGACAACACCCCAGGCCAATGGCACGTCGCCGTGGATAAAACGGCGGGCGCTTACGCGACCTTCTACTTTGACTCGGTGTGGGATGACGAGAAATCCCGATGGATGCGGCGACAAGTCTTTCGACGCAAAGGCCGAATTGTCACGAACATCCCCGTGAAGGAGTGGTACGCGTTGTGTTCCAAAGTCATCACTTTCAGGCGCCGACATCTCTCCGATCAGGCCCGCGACCGCAACTCCTCGTGGAAGGCCATGCGCGATGCAATCCGCCGAGAGCGACCTGGCGAGTCAAGCTCGGGTGTACGTCGAGAAGTTCGGGCTGGTATCTTGGCTTTGACGGCTCACTTCGTCGCCGACATGGACAAGCTCGATGCGGATCATGGTGGCATTCGAGCAGCGGCAGATTTCCTCGATTGCGCGCGCCATCGATCCTAATTGGGACGGCGACGCCTTTTGGGACATGGCGACCAACGACGCGCCGCTCACCGATTGGCTCTTCAAGGTCACCGACTCGCTGGACCAACACTTCATTTGTCGAAACGTCGAGTGCTCCTCCGTCATCCACAACCACCACTGGCTGCGCCAGATCTCCACCGATTACCCCATCCGCGAACAACATGGTCGCTATACATGCCCGCGATGTTTGACCCCGTATCGACCCCATGCGGATCGCACGAACGCCAGTGCACTACAATCGAAGAAACTCGTACCAGCACAGAAGGCGCTGATCATGGCGGAGAACGGCGAGGTTAACATCGACATCCCGGTGCGTGGACAAACCATCTCGAAGGACAACACCGACTACCATCTGTTTCTGATGGAGTGGGAGAAGACCGACGATGATATGCTCCTGGGAAGGCTCAAGCAGATCATGGCAGAGTATCGTGCGGACCTGGGCACCGATGACTTCCGAGCTCCACTACAGGCTGCTATCCGCGATCAAGCTGTGAAATACCAGCTCCTGGGATACTTCGAGGAGACAGCGTGGACCCTCGAGAACATGGAAAACATCCTCAACCGCAACTACTCGGTCGATCGCAAGAACATCTATCGACCCGATCTTCTTCCTACCATGACCTACCCGCGCAAGTACCTCGATGAGACCTTCAATACCAAGGAGAACTTCGAGTCCTACGACATCCGTTCGTTCCGCAAGGATCCTCCATATTATCACTTTAGCGTTTACCAGTACGAGCCCGATTCCACAGTGACCATGAAGCAAAACGACTTCCTAGGCTTCATGTCCTTGTGTTACATCCAGCTACGCGCGATTCAGTACCTCCAGGGCGACCACAGCTTCACCAATGTCAGCCACGATCACCTTGAGCTTCTCCGACAACGACGACGAGAACGCCAGGCGGCATTGTGACCTGCCTCGCGTGAACTGGGAGTGGTCGTTCGTTCCGCCTAGGCGATGCCGACGACAACCCAGTGTGTAAGATCCTCGAGCCACAGTGCTCGCACACCCTTGCCGACGAGTGAGATCTCGCGAAACTCGTCGGTCTTGCACCGACTTTTCCCTCCTGTCCGCCTAGGCGATGCAGGAAGGGCTGCTTTTCATTGACACCGGGCCCGAGGCCCACCGTGCGAGGGATCTCTTTCCGCCTAGAGACTTTCCACGAGCCATGATTTTCGCCGACCTCATACAGCAATGTTTGACCTCGACACTCAGCACAAAAGAAGCCCGCTTAGGATCCGGATGCCGGTAAGGCTTGTCGGTAAGACAACACGGAGACCCCTCGAACAATTGCTTGCATGTCCTTTGGTTAGGCTCCCAGTTTGCACGACAGTAGCCCTGGACCGAATATCCTCGGTATGGACACCGCCGCCCTGCGCCACCTCGAGTCACTCGTCGATGGCCTCAACCGGCAGATCAATGGACTTCGATTCCGGATCGAGGCGATACGCACCAGAGCCCGAGCAGAATCACCACGACGAGTCACAGAGATGGCACATGTGTTCGAGAGCTACGTACCCATCGAGATCTTCATGGCATCGGCGAGGAGCGAGGTTACAGCCCGGGATATTTTACAACGCAGGATTACAGAACTTCGAGCTGACAACGAACAACTCCGTGAACAACTTTATCTCCTTCAACTTCAACTCGAGCCTCTACTCGGATTACCTCTTGCTCTCCAACAGCTACACGATGAAGTGGGTGATTTGGCTAGAACGGTTTTTCCTGAGCCCGTAGTGAATGCAGCTAGGCCCTCTAGTACTCTAGTTCCGACCTTGCCTGACACCCGGGATCCTGAGCATGAAAAGAAGGCTCCCTTGCGCCGTTATCGCGCAGTGTGTACGGTAAGTACACTGTCATTCCCGACCCGACAGATACAGGCTCGAGTAACGAGCAGTGACCCCAGATGACCTTCGCCGATGCACTCGCCTTCCTTAGAGCGCGTCCGATGATTGGGAAGGCTCGGTGAACTGCTCGATGGGGTCATTCTCCTCCATCGGCTGTGTCGCGGTGTACTGTTCGATCTTGTCGTGTTCAAGTTCGGGAGCACGTCGAGGGACCATGTTTACAATCGGGTGTAAGCCGGGGTGACAGGGATGATCTACGTTAGGGCGCAGAGTACAAGGGAGCAGTACCAAGCCCACACAGTCTCCAAGGAGAAAGTAGGCCCCGCTACAGAACACGCGGAGCCTAAGAGTAATATGCATCGCGGGTCAACTCTTTCTTGGACACATAGGGATGGTTTGTTGCGAGTCGTGACTTCGAAAGACTACTCGTGGGCTTGTCGCCGTAACCTGTCAAAGGGCCACACATCGCCTAGGCGGAAGTGGTTACCTTCTCTGCAGGTGAAACCATATTATAAGGAAGGCCCCTATCATTCGGTGACGCGCGTCGCCTAGGCGGAAGCGGCACAACGGATGACCGGAGTTCCCAAAAGAGGCATCGCTGACTCAAGTGGAATGCTCGGGGAAATCGATGTTGCATGGGAGCCAATCCGGCAATACCGAATCACTGTCTGCGTCGGAGCACGTAACTCGGAGGCTCGACGGTGAAGTGCGGGGCCATGTCGGGGTGTCCCACGAAGTAGGTCCGCATGTTCGGCGGCAACATAGCCCAGGCGCAATCGATGATGGCGTCCCCAATGAGTCGCATAAACGTTGAAATCCAAGTGAGGTATCCGTAGTTGAGGGAGACGCGATGAACATCGATGGAAAACAAGCACCAGCCGCGCAGGCGGTTGAATCGGGCCTCCACACTAGTGTGGTGGAGCTCAGATAAGCTCGCTGTCATCGTGTGCCACACCATCGAGTACCTGGGAAACCAAACCTCGGCAAATAAACATGCGCACACACTTTGGGGTTCAAAAGTGTGCGTTTGGCCAAACCACTACTTTTGGGAGGCTCAGGGCTTCAGGCCTACGCGGTTCAGGGCTTCAGGGTTCCAGGGTTCCGGGTTTGCCACCAACGATGGAATCTCAAGCTAGAGTGTGCACAGACTGATCTCACACTTGTCAAATGTCAGCAGGCACAAACAGTGCGGAATGAAAAGGTCACCAAAACCCTTTAGAAGTCCACCTAACCCCAGACCCGCAGAGTACAATTGAACTCACCTGCCCTCGCCATCCGATTGTTTTCGCGCTGCGGTGGCTGGTGGCTGCTTCGTTCGAGCAGGAGCGGACCTGGGGAAGGTTTGGGTGCAATTAGTCTTTGATTTCGGATTGAATTGGGGCTTTGAGTTCACTTCAAAATACGAGTTGGAGGCTAGATTATTCCGTAATTTTAGGGCCGATTATGGGGCAACATGATTCTTGGGTGCTACAAAGTCACTCAAACCAACACGCTCAAATCCATGATCGCGAACGCATCCTTGTCGAGCGCAGTCTTCATATGCAAAAGATATCTTTGAATAGTTTTCACTGCAACAGCGCGGGTCGAAACCCGCCGGCTCAGGCGAGCCGTCCTGCCCACGAAGTCCTCCGACACGAAAGTCGCTTCATCCAAAATGTTAGTTGCAAACCCTGCAACTGTGAACTCTTCGTAGCAACGAAGGAATATGTGATTGAGGTAGTGTACCTTCGGCCGAAGCTTGAATAAACACAGTGACCGATTGTAGCACTTGGCCACAAGACCCGCATAGCCCATAAGGAATTTGTGCCCAGAATCGAGGACAACACGGGTGTGCTCGCCCGACATGAAATACTCTGCCACCAGGGATGTTTTCACCACTTGGCCCATGTCCTTTCCAGCCGCCAAAATATCCTGCAGGATGTCATCAGCCTGAACTTTTTGCTGGAATTCATGGCGCTCCAACAAGTAAACAATGAATTTCATGATCGTAGCTGCATCCATGTTCTTAGACCAATTTCCTGAAGGGTACTCTCGTGTTCCATTGTATCCCAAAAGGTCCTCTGTAAGTTTTCCACAGTGAAGCCTGTTTTTTTGTCTTTGTACACCGCCCCGAGCAAAAAACACCTTCATGGCATAGATCAATGCACTCGCAGTGAAGTCAAGGCCAAGTCCAGCGTGCCACACATGAAAGAAATCAGCCCGGTAAAAGGCTGCAGGCGTGTCTGCCCTGTCCAGCAACATATGCTGGAGTATTGCACCACCATAGCCATCCCACGGCAGCGGGTTGTTCAGTCTGCAGGTTTGCAGCCAGTCGGCCTGAGTGAAGCCCAGGTGTTCGTAGGGAATGTGCACTCCATCGTTCGGTGACTCGAAGCCAGCATGACAAAGCCAGCAGCAGCCCTTCTGTACGTTCTTTGAAGTGTGTGTTTTACGCATGTTATGGAAAGAACGTGTTGCTTTGGCGACCTTCTTCGCAAAAGGGGAGTCACCAGTGAATCCCAAAATCATGACCCGCCACGTGCTCCCTGCAGCCTCAAAGCCATCTTCGAAGAGTTCCTTTAATTCAAGACTCCATCTTTCCATAAGGTCGTCGAATATTTGACCATCTTTCTTAGCCACCAAGCTACTCACAACAGAAAACAGAAACCGGGTGGCACCCGAGTTGCCTTGTAGATTGATGCCGAGCTCGACTTGGCTTTGAACAGGTCGCTTGGAGCTTAGGTCCACAGGGTTGTGCCTGGACCAACTGCCCAACGCTGGAAACATGGACACTATCTCGATAGGATCCTTCTTGTAACCACGGCCCCCATCACCATGCAAGTAGTAAGGGATGAGCTTCTGAAAGTCGATATATCTGCAGTTCTAGAACAAGTCATGTTGTGGGTGGAGGGTTCGGAACTTCTGCCAGAACAAATCCAGCCCTGGACCTGCCAAGTGAACCGGTAACCCCAACACTCGATGGAAGTAGCCTTCATCACTCAAAACTTCCAGAACGGCCTTGGGCTTCAGGAAAGGATACCTATGAGTATTGCCAGCCTTCGTCCAGCAAAAAGCAATTGGCAAGCACAGCCCATTCTTGCGGAAGATTTCATAAAGAGGCGCATCAGCGTTAGAATCCTGCACCTTTGCAATCTTTCCCAGCACCTCGCAGGAATCCTTCTTGACGGCTGCGCGGGCATCCATCACCAGATCTTTTGCTGGGACCTTGGTGGGCACATATTAGCATTTAACGTACGATAGGCGGGTTTAAACACATGCATCGCTCACAGCGCAGAAGCATCTGATCGAGAACATCTTCATGCACATCACAGCTCTGATTCGGGATTTTTTCTTCACAACAGCTAGTGTCTGAAGGAGATTGCAGTGCTTGGTTGTGTGAAATCACACAAGCAGCCGGTAGCATAACTACGTCACCCTAGGATGGGCTTGCACTGAGCAGCACTTGTGGCCGCCACGTATGCAAAGTACGGAGGTGGGAACCTTGGTGAAAAATCCTTCTTGCGCATGCTCTC